AGTCGTCGGGGGAAAGGAGGAGGAGTGAGGAGCGGCGCGCTGCCGCCCCTCGACACAGGGAAGACAGGGAGGAGCAGGCGAGGGTGGGAGGGGAGGGAGAACCCTGGGAAGACCAGCAACAAGGTCCCGTTTGTGCATGGCCCGAAGGCGCTGCACAGACGGGTGACCAAGGCGGTGGTGCCAGAGGACAGTCTCATGCGCCAAAGAGCGGCACGAGCAGGGGGCCGACAGCTGGCCTGGCGCAGACGCGGACGCGGACGCAGCTACCTGAGGGGACTCAGTGGTCAGTGTGTACAGGTCCGATCCCGGCTGCCGAGTGAAGGTAGCCAGGTGACGGCCCGTCCGAGCACACGTGCAGTGTGTCACGCGCTCATAGGCAGGGGTGAACTGGTGAACACCCCCGTCCTGGAGCGCACAACCTGCCACCAAGTTCGTAGAGAACGAGGGGAGGTAGAGACCTGATAGTGTGCCTGACGGGACCGCAGGACAGGGAAGAACAGTGGAGGAGGTCGCAATGACCGGACCCCCAGAGGGGTCAGCGAGGGAGACAGCAACTGGCCGAGCAAGCGGCTCAAGGGCAGTGCGGTCACGAAAGAAACAGCGAGAAGCACCTGAGTCCAGGGTGAAGGTGTGCAGTGCTGCAGTCGACTCAGTACCAGGGGAGACAGACTCACTAGCACCTAAAGCGACAGCCTCACCATCACCTGAGGTGGCAGACACGCGAGTACCGGGAGTGGGAGCCTCACCAGCACCTAGGGCAACAGACGTACTAGCACCTAGAGCGGCAGCCTCACTGACAGAAGCTCCCGAACGATGCACTCCAGAGCGACTACCACTACGGCCACCCCGACAGCCCCAACTAGCGTACCACTCACGCGCACGAAGCACCTGGGGCGAAGGAGGACACGGCAGCTGCACCTGTCCACTACCAGAAGCTCCCGACCGATCCACTCCAGAGCGACTACCACTACGGCCACCCCGACAGCCCCAACTAGCGTACCACTCACGCGCACGAAGCACCTGGGGCGAAGGAGGACACGGCAGCTGCACCTGTCCACTACCAGAAGCTCCCGACCGATCCACTCCAGAGCGACTACCACTACGGCCACCCCGACAGCCCCAACTAGCGTACCACTCACGCGCACGAAGCACCTGGGGCGAAGGAGGACACGGCAGCTGCACCTGTCCACTACCAGAAGCTCCCGACCGACCCACTCCAGAGCGACCACCACTACGGCCACCCCGACAGCCCCGACTAGTGTACCACTCACGCGCACGAAGCTGCTGGGGCGTGAGGGACTCACGCGCACGGCCCTGGAGCTGCATCTGGCCACGCCAGGAGCAGCAGTAGTAGCAGTAGCGGCAGCAGTGGGAGTAGAAAAGGCAGTAGCAGCAGTAGCAGTGGTAGCAGTGCTGGGCAATGCTCACCAGTGGTCGGCGCGGCAGGCGCAAGACGGTGGCGACAGCGGGGCCGCTACAACTGCAGGGCTGGGCCGGGCCGTAGCAGGGAGCTCCGCGGCAGCTGCTGCAGGGCGAGGCCGGGCCGCGACGGCAGCTGCTCCAGGTGCCAGGGGCGGCTGCTGCAGTGGCGGCGGCTCCAGGGGCCAGGGGCGGCTGCTGCAGCTGTGGTTGCTCCAGGGGCCAGGGGCAGCTGCTGCAGGTGCGGGCTGCTCCAGGGGCGGCTGCTGCAGGTACGTGCTGCTCCAGAGGGGGCCGCTGCAGTGGCAGGCGGCTCCAGGGGCGGCTGCTGCAGTGGCGAGCGGCTCCAGGGGCTGCTGCTGCAGTGGCGGGCGGCTCCAGGGGCTGCTACTGCAGTGGCGGGCGGCTCCAGGGGCTGCTGCTGCAGTGGCGGCTGCTCCAGGGGCTGCTGCTGCAGTGGCGGCTGCTCCAGGGGCGAGAGGCGGATTAGGTCAGGGCGACGCGGCGAGAAGGGCGACGCGGCGGGCAGGTGGCGACGCGGCGGGCAGGTGGCGACGCGGCGGGCAGGTGGCGACGCCGCGGGCAGGGCGACGCGGCGGGCAGGTGGCGACGCCGCGGGCAGGTCGACGCGGCGGGCAGGTGGCGACGCCGCGGGCAGGGCGACGCGGCGGGCAGGGGACGACGCCGCGGGCAGGCGACGACGTCGCGGGCAGGCGACGACGCCGCGGGCAGGCGACGACGCCGCAGGCAGGCGACGACGCCGCGAGCAGGCGACGACGCCGCGAGCAGGCGACGACGCCGCGGGCAGGCGCCGATGTCGCGGGCAGGCGACGACGCCGCGGGCAGGCGACGACGTCGCGGGCAGGCGACGACGCCGCGGGCAGGCGACGGCGCCGCGGGCAGGCGACGACGCCGCGGACAGGGGCTACGTCGCGGGCAGGCGACGACGCCGCGGGGAGGCGGTGACGCCACGGGCAGGGCGACGCGGCGGGCGGCGAGAGCCTGCAGGGGCGGCGTGCGGTCGTGCAGAGGCTGCGCACTGGCCTGACGGACCTGCAGGGGCAGCTCGAGAGTGCACGAGGGCGCACGAGGGCGTACGAGGGCGCACGAGGGCGCACGAGGGCGCACGAAGGCGCACTAGCAGAGAAAGGCGCACGAGGGCGCACGAGGGCGCACGAGGGCGCACGTAAGGTAGAGCGCACAAGGGCGCAGAGGGGGAGGCGCTAACGCAGCACTCCGACAGTAGGGCGCACTAAGGCGCTAGGAAGTAGTTAGTAGAGGTGGGCCCGAAAAAAAAAACTTAGGTCCTAGCGAAGGACCTGCTCTGAAACCATGTCAGAATAACTGAACGAGGAATGGATGAACTAGCAGGAAGGTGGGTACAAGTATGAAACCCTAAGTTTGTGTACCCTCTAAGGCTAGACCCACTATAGCCTACACAATATAAACATACAATGTTTGACACGCCCTCCCGCGACCGTGCATACGCTTTCGTGTGGATTGTGCTTCTTTGAGCATGGTGGCGGCTCTCTTCCACTCCGACAGACACTTGCGGTGGATTCCTGATTCGCGAGACGACGCTCGCAACGTTACCGCCACATCCATGCGCCCAATCAACTTTATCTTCTCGTGCGCAGTATAAGCATTACGCTTATGCTGCGAGGGCTTGTGCTTGGGAGACGGGGGGAGTGCATCACGATTTTCAGAACTTGGGTGGGGACACTTGTGATTAACAGGCGGAAACGACATAATCGGTAGTCTCTCAGGAAGTCTGTCATGCGAATCCACCACAAGTGTGGTGCACCTGCACAGAAAAGCCTGAGTTTCGCAAATATATAGTGGATATGACTTACAGCGCCTTCCCTGAAGGATATGGGATGACCTCGAGAGGTTGTACTTTGGGTGAGTTTTACTCTACTCTCCATGAAACATGCTTATTCTATGCTCTCTACTATCCCCATTAGCCAATTGCCTCTCTGCTTCAAATTTCCTCACTCTATCAAGCTGGCTACATGCCTTATGGTGGCCTAAATTACCTGAACATCATTGCAACGCATGTACTATCATGCAACTAACGTTGCAATGAGTCGTTCTTTTTGTGTCAAACTATAATCATGTTTATATTGTGTAGGCAATAGTGGGGTAGCCTCTAAGGGGTACAACCCAACTAGAGTTTCCCATATTTGTATCACCTTGCCTTCTAGTTGATTCATTCTTGCCTAGTATTCTTAATATGGTATCAGAGCGATAGGTCCGTAGGACCGTTTTTTTTTTTCGGGCCCACCGGTTACCACAGCAGCTTTCGGCCGCCTTCTCCTGCCTTACCTGCTTCCCGAGCTGTCCTCCTTTGCCACTGTAGAGGACCTCATTACCCACCTTCGCGCTATTGACGCTCGCTACCGTGCTGCCCTCCCAGACGAGTTCCTCCCCAAGAACGAGCCCCCGATTTACATCACTCTCTACTTTATTGTCACTCGCCTCCCTGACTCTCTTCGCGCAGTCAGGGACCACTTTCTCGCTCTTCACCCCACAGAGCTCACCCCACAGGGACCACAAAGCAACTCCTTGCAGCTGAGACTAGCGCAGTAGCTGTAGGTGCTACTCGTGGCACCCCTCGCACGCCCTTCTTTGAGGGGTGCTCCCCCTCCCCCCTTGCCCCCTCTGTTGCTTCTGCTGCTGCTGTCGACTTCCTTGGTGCTGAGGAGGTCGGTGCCGCTTCTGCTCTTAGTGCGAAGCGCCGCAGCGGCATGGGCAAGGGAGGCAAGGGTGGTGGGGGTGGCAGCGGGGGGGGGTGGTGGTGGAGGCGGTGGAGGCGGTGGAGGTGGCGGAGGTGGCGGTGGCGACGGTGGAGACCTGCTGGGCGGTGGCGACGGTGGCGGTGGCGGTGGAGACCTTCTGGGCGGAGCTGCATAGGTCTGGAGTTGATATCTTTGCTCTTGACTATGATGCTATCCTAAATGCCATGTATGCGTTGTCTGTTAGTGCTGAGGGTGACTGTTACTTGTGTGTGCCGCCCGACCCAGGTATAGAGGCTGCTGCTCTAGGTGCTAGTGAGTCTGCTCTCTCTGGTACTGCGCCTGCTGAGGCCTTGCACACCTTCACGCTTGACTCAGGTGCTTCATGCTATTTCATTCGTGATAGTACCGCACTCACACCACTCCCTAGACCGATTGCGGTCTCCCTAGTTGACCCCTCTGAGGGTCCAGTGCTTGCACATTCCTCCACTGTGCTCCCGTCTACGGCGGTTCCGTCCGGCTCACTGTCAGGTCTCCACCTCCCCTCGTTCTTGACGAACCTGGAGAGTACCGCGGCTCTTCAGGATGAGTGGGTTGATACCTTCACCCCTGGAGGCCAACGTGTGGCGATCTGCACGTGCTCCCGGACGGGCCGCCACCTGGCCACGTTCACTCGTCGGCCTGGGTCGAGTCTGTACACACTGACTACTGAGCCTCCTCAGGTTGCTGCGTCTGGTCAGGTGGCTGCGTCAGGTCAGGTAGCTTCCCCCTGCGAGTGTCGTCACCTGTCGCACCAGACCCTCCTTTGGCACCACCGCCTACCCCTCCTTGCCACGCCTTCGTAGCATGAACTCCCGCCTCCTTGACACTGGTCTTCCCAGGTCTCTGCCTTCCCTCCCACCCTCGCCTGCCCTGCCCTGTGTTCCTTGCGATGAGGGGCGGCAGCGCGCCGCTCCTCACTCCTCCTCGTTTCCCCCGACGATTGCTCCCCTGCAGACCCTCCACATGGACATGTGGGGCCCAGCCCGCGTCCAGGGACAGGGCCGCGAGCGGTACTTTCTGCTGGTTGTTGACGACTACTCGCGTTACGCCACGGTCTTCCCCTTGCGCAGCAAGGGTGAGGTCCCTGCTGTTTTGATCCCTTGGATCCGCGCTGTACGTCTCCAGCTCCGCGAGCGGTTCCAGACGGACCTTCCCATCCTACGTCTGTACTCTGACAGAGGTGGTGAGTTCTCCTCCGACCTCTTGCGGGACTTTTGTCAGGGGGAGGGCATCCTCCAGTCGTTCACGCTTCTGGCCTCTCCGCAGCAGAATGGGGTTGCTGAGTGCCGCATTGGCTTAGTCATGGAGGTCGCTCGTACCTCCATGATCCATGCGGCTGCTCCCCATTTTTTGTGGCCGTTTGCGGTCCGGTACGCTGCGCATCAGCTCAACCTCTGGCCCCGTGTCTCCTTGCCAGAGACCTCGCCCACACTGCGTTGGATGGGGGAGGTTGGCGATGCGTCGCGGTTCCGGGTCTGGGGTTCTCGTGCCTTTGTCCGCGATACCACCGCGGACAAGCTCTCCTCTCGCGCCATTCCCTGCGTCTTCCTTGGCTTTCCCCCTGACGCGCCTGGCTGGCAGTTTTACCACCCCACCTCGCGTCGTGTCTTCCCCTCTCAGGACGTCACGTTTGACGAGTCGGTCCCCTTTTACCGTCTCTTCCCCTACCACACTGCCCCCCTTCCCCCCCTGCCGCTCTTCCTCGCTCCAGGTCCTCCTCCGGTAGACCCCCTACCCCCTCAGGGTCCTGCTCCTTCTGGTGTGTCTGAGGTAGACCCACTTCCCTTGGCTGAGCCTGTCGAGGTCACTGGTGACTCAGGTGCTGCTGGGGGTGGTCCTGCTCCGAGTGCTCCGTCTGGGGGTGCTGAGCCTGGGCGTGCTGAGCCTGGGGGTGCTGAGCCTGTGCGTGCGGAGCCTGGGGGTGCTGAGCCTGTGCGTGCGGAGCCTGGGTGCTGAGCCTGGAGGTGCTGCGCCTGGGGGTGCTACTTATGCTTCAGGTCCTGACGCTGGAGGTGCTGGAGCTGGAGGTCCTGACGCTGGAGGTCCTGACGCTGGAGGCACTGGAGCTGGAGGCGCTGCCGCTGGCGGCGCTGGAGCTGGCGCTACTGGAGCTGGAGGTGTTGGCGCTGGAGACGCTAGAGTTGGGGGCTCTAGAGCTGGAGCTTCTGGAGGAGGGGGTGCTGGAGCTGGTGGCACTGGCGCTGGAGGCGCTGAAGCTGGAGGTCCTGACGCTGGAGGTACTGGAGCTGGAGGCACTGGAGCTGGAGGCGCTGCTGTTGGCGACGCTGGAGCTGGTGCTACTGGAGCTGGAGGTGCTGGCGCTGGAGGCGCTGGAGCTGGAGGCCATGTTCAGCAGCGACCATTTTTCGTGCCGCCGCCGCAGCTGTCCGACCTTCCGCCCGAGTCGGTGCTCTTAGTCTTCCTTCGTCCACTGCCCTTCCTCCGGACTCACCGCTGCCTTCCCGTCTCGTTACACTGAGCAGCTGGTCTCCCTTACAGAGCGTCGTGAGCCTGCGTCTCGTCCTGCCTCCCCTGTTCGCCGTGCTCGTCGTGTCCCGCGTCCGCGTCCTCCTCCTGTGCCAGGTACTCACACTATGGCACTTCGTCCTTCCTCTATTCCCCAGCACGTCCCTCTGCCGTCTCCTCCTGCGTCCTCTCTTCCTGAGATTCCTGACCCTGAGTCTGATAGTGTTCGTGCTGCCAGCCCTACTGTCACGCGTCTCCTGGCTACTGTTGTCACTGACCCGTCGTTTGAGTCCACTGCTGCGTCTGCCTTAGTTGCTGAGCTTGTCGACTTTGCTGCTGCGTGTCGTCTAGACTACGCCGCCAGTCTTGTTGCAGAGTCTGAGTCTGTCTGTCCTCCGTCCGTCGGGGGTGAGTGTGTTCTTGGCACGGACGTCCTTGAGGACAGGCAGGAGGACCTTGAGTGTCTTGCGGCTGCTATACCTCATCTCATGGCCTGGCTGCTTGCGCCTGAGGGAGACCCGGATGCACTAGACATCCCGACCCCGCGCTCTTACGCAGAGGCGATCTTGAGTCCCTACTCCTCTCAGTGGTAGACAGCCATGGACGCAGAGATGGCATCTTGGAAGTCCACAGGCACTTACGTCGACGCAGTTCCCCCTCCTGGGGCGAACATAGTCGATGGCATGTGGATTTTCAGGGTGAAGCGGTCGCCGGGTTCTCCGCTTGTCTTCAAGGCGCGTTACGTTGCACGAGGCTTCAGTCAGCGACAGGAAGTTGACTTCTTCCAGACCTTCTCCCCTACCTCGAAGATGACCACTCTTCGGGTGCTGCTGCACGTTGTCGCTCAGCGTGACTACGAGCTTCACTCTCTTGACTTCAGCACAGCCTTCTTACAGGGCAGCCTGCACGAGGAGATCTAGCTGCGCCGCCCACCTGGCTTCACTGGGTCGTTCCCTCCTGGTACCCAGTGGAGCCTCCGGCGGCCAGTCTACGGTCTCCGCCAGGCGCCTCGTGAGTGGCACGACACACTGAGGACGACACTTGCGGCTCTTGGGTTTGCTCCTTCCACTGCTGACCCGTCGTTGTTTCTTCGCACCGACACTTCGCTGCCGCCGACGACGTGTTTCTTCTCTACATCCTCGTGTACGTCGACGACTTCGTCTTTGCCACTGCTGACACTAAGGCACTGGCCCTTGTGAAGTCGGAGCTGCAGAAGAGACACACGTGCACAGACATGGGTGAGCTGCGCAGCTACCTTGGCTTGCAGATCACCTGGGACAGAGCACGACGCACCATCACCCTGACTCAGTCATACATGGTGCAGGTGGTCCTTCAGCGCTTCGCCACAGTCCACTCCTCTGCCTACCGGTCACTCGCTCTCAGCTCCACCTTCGGACGAGTCCGTAGAGCCAAGTGGCCCGTATCCAGAGCTTGTGGGCTGCCTTATGTACCTGATGACCTGCACTCGACCAGACCTTGCGTACACTCTTAGCATCCTGGCTCGCTACGTTGCGCCTGGGAGACACCGGCGTGAGCAATGGGAGGCTGCTAAGAGGGTGTTGCGCTACTTGTGCAGTACATTGTGCATGAGGCTGGTGCTGGGAGGACGCGGTCGAGTTGTCCTCACTGGACACTCAGACGCCTCTTGGATTGGCGACCTGGCTAGGCGACCTGGCTACGCAGCGGTCGTCACAGGGTTACACCTTCAGCCTTGGTTCCGGCTCTGTCTCTTGGCGGTCTACCCGCTCTTCTTCTGTTCTCAGCTCCAGTTGTGAGGCTGAGATCTACGCTGGAGCCATGGCTGCACAGGAGTTACGCTGGCTCACCTACCTGTTGACTGACTTGGGAGAGCAGCCTCGTTCTCGTACTTCTGTACGTCGACAACAAGGCCGCCATCGCCTTGTGTCAGGAGCACATACTGGAGCACAGAACGAAGCACATCGCTCTGCGTTACTTCCTTGCTCGAGAGCTGTAGCAGCGTGGCCAGCTTCGTCTTGCTTACGTGGACACGCGGGCCAACACAGCTGATATATTCACCAAGGCACTTCCACCTGGTGATCATCAGCGTCACTGCAATGCTTAAGGCCTCGTGCTTGCGTTCTCTCACTTGCTCACTGCATGACTTTGCGAGTACTGTGATCTTTATATATACCTGCATGCTTACACTTGCTAGGTTGTGATCACTGTACTGTTTGCTCTCTCTTATATAACTATGCATGTGAACTGGCCATGTGGCCTTTTGCTTGTGCTCGAAATGTGTGGTGACTTCGTGATCCACCCTGAGCTTGCTTTGCTTGTTTTGACTGTGTGACCATTTGGTCTCCCCCATTTTGCCTATGGGGGTGTGTCAAACTATAATCATGTTTATATTGTGTAGGTTGTAGTGGGGTAGCCTCTAAGGGGTACAACACAACTATGGTTTCCCATGTTTGTATCACCTTGCCTTCTAGTTGATTCATTCTTGCCTAGTATTCTCAACATTTTGTGCCACTCCTTTGCAGGTAGTCTCCCGGGCACATCTATCAGCTTCACAATGTTTATCGACCCAATAGCCAAGAACAAAGCTTTCCATCCCTTCACTTTCCGCCTCAACTCCACAGGGTGCACGCAACTCCCAGAGGAAGTGGCGGGGAAGGCGACAACATTCAAATATATTCGAGACACCGGCAAAGACGATCAGCTTTGCCCTCGTTTCAGATTCTACTCAACAGATAACTGTGAAGGTACTCTTTTCGCAGAATTTCACGGCGACGATTGGCCGTGAATTGGTGTTTATTCATGGTAAGTCATTATCATTTTCTATCTGCACGCATGTACTAGCTATGCTACTTCTGTCAGAATGTGATGTTTGTCTAGCCTGCAGTGGGGTACTCTATAGCGAGTACAGTCCGAATTAGAGTTTGCTATATGTACTCAACTGCCTGCTAGTGAAAACCTCTCTTTCTTGTTTTTGATCTTAGCCTACTGTTTTGACAACTTCACCTTCTGCACCAATTGAAGGCAATGCTTTAAATGTCATCCTCTCCTCTTGCTCCCCACTGTTATTCGTTGGGAGCATATCACTAGAGGTTGCCTCCACCATGCACTCAATGTTGTGCATCCCAGAACCAGGCACCATGTATTTACCTTAATAGTCTAACAGTTGAAACCCATGGGTCATGGCCATTTATACCGAGTATTCATTGGGTGCTTCGTATTGGTTTTGCATGTGTCTGACACCATCAGTGACACCGTAGAGCAAAAAATTGTTCATATTCGCCCGGATACTGGACCGGGGGGTTTATCTTTACAAGGAGGACTGCTCGGGGAGGGGGGTAATGCAAGGGAGTTTTCAAATTCCACACTTTGCGTCTGACGTTCTATGGCAACACTGTTCAATGGCTTGATCGTTCTTCACCCATTACCACTTAACGGTGTTTGCCACATCATGCGCTATTTCTGCCAAACCACGCAGTGCTGTACAAGGCCGAGTGGGCCCAGTGCCAGCATAGCATGGCCTAGCTCGCACCTTCACTATCTGTTTGCCCATTTCGCTATTAAGATTTAGCTATTTCCAATACTCCACTCGTAACAACTCAACAGAATTGAATAAATATCGTGAAAGCTGTTCAGAGAACGTTTTGAAGCTGCCACATATTCGTCGGTTGTGCCTAACCCGTCAGCGTCTAGCGGAGCGGATGGCTAGGTGGACATTCACCTTCCTTGAATTTCGCCACCTCATCCAACATTTGTGAACATGAATTGTCGAGAGCAAAGGCTACTGGGTGGACGAAGTCCAGCTTTGAAGGCAAGGGGGAGGATTCACTTTCCCGAACGCGAGTGATTGGCTTGCGCGTTTGCGAAGTGACTAGGCCAGCCAATCATACGTCGAAGATATGGATATTGCTCGTCGTTATTTCGTGTTTCGCCGGCGTAGTCTTCGAGACGGTTGGCCCCAACGGCTGTGGCGATGTGTGGTTGCTGGGACTTTCGCGATTCTTCGCTTGTGGCTCTGGTTCATGCGCCTCGCATTGACGGAAATGCTGGCCAGATTCATATACCAACAAAGGCTCTGTTCGGTTGAACATGAGCCCAGGGCCAAGATAGCTCCGATCAACAGCATGCAATTGACTTTGGTACGTCACGAGATTGGACGCCTAATCGCTGGAACCTCCATTGCTGGAGCTCCCTCAGCCATTGCTCCCATTTTTTTGGCTAGATCTTTGGTAGCAGTTGAGCCTTGTGTTCCTGCGTGCTTGCGCAGGACGGGTAGAAGACGGGTAATCTCTTGACCCGCTCGTTTCTGCGAGGCGAAAGTTGACCCCAGGTGCTCTAATCCCGCCCCGCTCTTCTGCCATGACTCACCAAGTCGTACGATGCAGGCCAGCGCCGCACGCGCTGGCTCACGGCTCGCTGTCGTTGTCAAATACGCTCGCCAACGTTCGCTCTCTAAAGGCCCCCGCGCCCGCCTTGCTCCTCACCTCCCGCCGCTCCTCATGCCGGCTAGCTGTCCGAGCGGTCCTGGACAAGTCGTCCAGCCGCAACAGCAACAGCAGAAGCGGCAGCAGCGGCCCCGGGGACGGGCATGGAAAGCTCAGCAGCGACCCGCTGGAGGCGGCGCGGTCGGCGCTGGAGCGGCTCTTCCAGCAGGCGCACGAGCACGAGGAGAAGCAGCGGCTGCTGGGCCCCTCCGCGGCGCCGGCGGACCTGACGGGCGCGTCGGTGGCGTTCCTCGAGGACGCCGTGCAGCAGCTGGAGGTCGATCTCGCCGCCGTCTTCGAGGCGCTCCGCGAGAAAGAGGGCGAGCTCGCGCTCGACGAGCGCCGCGTCGCGGACGAGCGCGCAAGCCTGGTGGCTGCGCGGGAGGCGCTCATGGCGCGCGAGGCGCAGCTGGAGGAGCGGCAGGCGGCGCAGGGGGCGATGCGGGATGAAGCGGAGCGGCTGCGGCGGAAGGTGCGGGAGCAGGACGCGGAGGTGGAGGAGGTGAAGCGCGCGGTTGCGGAGCGCGAGGCGGAATTGACGCGCGCGAAGGAGGTGCTCGCGCTGAAGGAGGAGGAGATTGCGCGCGCGCACCTCGCTATCCGGCAGCGCAACGAGCGCATCGAGGCGGCGGAGCTCGACGCCAAAACGCGCGAGACGCAGCTGTCGGCGGCGGAGGCAGAGCTGCGCCGGCTGGAGGCGGACGTGGCGGCGGCGGAAGGGGAGGGCAGGCGGGCGGCACAGGAGGCGGAGGCGGCGCGGAGGGAGCTGCAGCGGCAGGAGGCGAAGCTGCAGGAGATGGCGGCGGAACTCGAGGGGCGCGCGCAGGTGGTGGCGGCGGCGGAGGAGGAAATTAATGCGCTGTCCGCGCGCCTTCGCGAGGCGGGCGCGAGCGGGGAGCTGGTGGAGCGGGAGGTGTCGGGCGCGCGGCGGGTGGTGGGCGACCTCAAGGCGGAGATGGCGCTGTCTGGCGGCGTAGCGGAAGCGTTCCGCGCGCAGGTCAAGGAGCTGCGGATGGCCGTCGCGCGGAAGGGGCGCGAGGCGTCTTCCGCGCGCATGCAGGCGCAGAAGCGCGAGAAGGAGCTGAACCGCGCCAAGGGCGAGCTGGAGCGCGACCGGGCGGCGCTGAAGGCGG